AATATTAAAACACAAAATAATAAATAATTAAATTAAATTATGTAGGTTTGTGAGCCAACCCGGCTACCACGGGTTCAAACCGCAGATTACAACTCATTTTGACAACATTATAAGATGAGGTTGACCACATATGTAAAATGATTGGTAAGTCATTTTAAGATGTTTTTTTTAAGTATTCTTTATTTTTAATCTAATAATTAAAATTAGCTTACTTGGTAGAGTTATTCAATAAAAAAAATGAAGAATTATTATTTAGAGTTACCTTAAATAACTTCATTATTCATCATATATATAATTATATACGTGTATAATGCAGTACTGCATTTTTTTTTAGGTTTAAACCCTCCCTTGGTCCTCAAGTTTGTATGAAAATCTCAGTTGGGTCCTCAAGTTTTTTTCTGTCTCAATTGGGTCATATTTTTTGTAAAAGTGAGCACATTGTACCATAACCGTTAAGTGGTGTGAGACGGCGTTAAATTGGTGTGAGCTGGATTTTTTCATTTACTGACGTGGCATTGTGCACTAAAATTGAAAGGCCACGTGGTGATGTTTTGTTCACAGATCTTCTCCTCCCACCCCTCTGCTTCCTTCCATCGGCGCCACCCACCATCTACAACACAATCACAGACCCAAAAAAATGACATTCTTCTTGATTCAGTTGCAGATACACATTTATAAAAATCAGAACTTTTGGACGAATCTGGATGTGGGGTTTTCCCATTTTCAGCTGAAGAACATTGGATGCAGGTAGAACGTGCTGGGTTTTTCTGGAACTTGATGGGGAGACATGCCACTGCTACAAAACGTGGAAGAGAGATGAATGCGTCGGAGGAGAGAGGTCCCTTGTCGAAAGCTAAGAGCAAGAGTTTGAAGTTTCCTAGCCAGGCAATGAAGAACCCTGTGGTGCCACAGAAGTGCACCGAAGAAAGACTCAGAGGAAGCACAATGAATAACAAGACGATCGGAAGAAAAAGGAAGAGTCGTATTGTTCCTGCAGGAACAAGCTTTCGGATCCAATAACAGTAGCATAAAGAGACAACAACTGAGAACCACACCTTCATGAGATTCATAATCTCACCCTCCATGACTACAAGTAAAGATGAAGAAACCAGATTCTGATATTATCTTCTCCAAAATCCGAACTCTGAAACGAAACAGAGGAATTTTCAGCTTGTGAGGCTTCAGAGGAATTTTGTGTCTTCTTTCTGAGTTTTGAATCGCGCAAAACAATGCCGCAATGATGTCGTACATAGAGTTTTGATCTGTGACCTTTTTGTTGCAACCATCAGAGAAAAGTGTATGATTTTTTGCGAGCACTTTCAGCTTTAAGCTTTAAGCAAAGTGTAGTACTCCTACATAAGCACTAACCACAATTATTTTTGGGTTTCTTCAGAAATTTTATAGATGATGAATAGGGAAGAAAGATAGGGGCAGAGAGAAATTGATGGTGATAGGTCTTAGGTTGAAGATGAAGAGTGAGCAAGCAGGGAGAAATGGAAAGAACACTTTCATTCAGGCACATAGGGCATGGTTTCCCAAGCTTTTGATGTTGTGGATCCTTCTCATGGCTCTAATTGGTTGGTGCATCTATACTAAAATGGATGCTGACACTAAAGTCAGAAGAAAAGAGGTGCTCGGTAGCCTCTGTGATCAAAGGGCAAGAATGCTGCAAGATCAATTCAGTGTTAGTGGCGCCGATGGAAGGAAGCAGAGGGGGAGGGAGGAGAAGATCTGTGAACAAAACATCACCACGTGGCCTTTCAATTTTAGTGCACAATGCCACGTCAGTAAATGAAAAAATCCAGCTCACACCAATTTAACGCCGTCTCACACCACTTAACGGTTATGGTACAATGTGCTCACTTTTACAAAAAATATGACCCAATTGAGACAGAAAAAAACTTGAGGACCCAACTGAGATTTTCATACAAACTTGAGGACCAAGGGAGGGTTTAAACCTTTTTTTTACTAAGAAAGAAACAAATCATTTAGTAATAGTTAAAATAGTCAAATCAATTAATTTTAATTGATATTTTCTTAATTTTCATAATAATTTTTTGAAGGAAGAATAGGAAAGTTATGCATTCGATTATCATACTAACAAAATACTAATAATTAATAATATCAATAATTTTTTTGATATAAAACTAAATATTGTTTGAACATGACACAGATATAATTTTTCTTCTCGTATTATAAGGTCATTACAAGTAAATTAGATATGAATGATGGTTAATATTTATCAATAATTGTAAAAACTGTATTGCAAATTATATATGTTTATCAATGTACTATGGACAAACAAATTTGTGTGTAAAATGATAATTGGTAAACTTACTGACAGATACATACATTCGTTAGTAAGTACCAATGATCACAAATTTTTCAGTAAATGTTCGTTGATAACATTTGTCAGTAAAATGCATGATTAGATTTTATTTTCCTTCTCTTCTTCATTTCGGTCATTTTCATCTTTTTGGTTCTCATTCACTTTCTATTTGTCTCACTTCCTCTTTCTCTTCCTTCACACATTGTCATTGTTATTGATATTTTTCATGTATGCATCATGGACAATCATTGGTGTCACCGACAAGCCTCTATGTTACCCTAGTCACCTCCTCCTTTTTCTCATCCTCTTCTTTTTATTTTATTTTCTTCTTTGACCATCGATAATTATGATGATAATTATTGATGAGATGATAATAATTATAATTTGGTGACAAATTTTTTCAAAGAATTTTACATACGAATTTATACCATTAAAATATAAAATCTGTCAAAAAATATTCACTAATAAATTAGAGTTTACCAATAAATTTTTAATAGTCGATAATATTTCATCGATAATTAATGATAATCTATCACTAAAGTATATCCCAAATTTAGAAGAAAAAATAATTTTCCTAGTATTTAGAAAAAATAAATTAGTAACATTTTGACAAATGGTATTAATTTATTCAAAATAATATATATATATATATATATATATATATATATATATATATATATATTATAAAAGCCTGACCTCATTCTATTTAATTCTATTATAACAATATTCGACTATAACTTATTTTAAATATTCTTGAAAGGGAAATCCTCCTAGTTTCAAAAAGAAGAAAACTTTAAAATTAAAATAATTTTTTTATTTAATGAGGATTATAACATAAAAGATTTTCTTTAGACAAATTAACTTTTACTCATCTCTTTCTTTATTCCAAATCGTAAAGATTCCACAAATCATCATTTTTAAGCTAAAAGATCATAAAACTGCGAAATGAGTTTAATTATAAAATTGTTATTTTTAAACTTAATTATAAAGAAACTTTGAAGAAGAACAAAATAGGGGCAAATACTTTTTTTTTTCTTCATTTCCATATATCTCACATCTTAAAGCAATGGTAAAGCATTTATTTCAAGTAAAAGTAGCAGTCAACGTATGACAGAGTCATCGTTTTTGCGTTATAGCGTAATGGAATATTGCAGTTTGTTTAGAAGAATCCTTTATTTCTTTCCTTATTAATAGACTACTCACGCAAATAGGTTAATTTTTGTTCCATTTATTATGCCATCAGCCAAATGATTCACACCTTATCACCTTAATATTTCCCTTTTGATATCCACTTTCATCAACCTTTAATTTGGATTTTTTTAATCTAATTTGATATCCAATTTCATCAAACACAATTACTTAATTATTTAAATTAATTATAATGTATGAAGCAATATAATTAAACTTTCACCCCTTATCAACGTTATAGACTCTTATGGTATAGTGAGCATCGAATGACTCTAGGTTTGCATCACATCAATAGAGCAAATATTCATTTAGTAATGAGAATCTTCTAATAAAATTTTAAGAAACAAAAAAAAAATATACAAACACAAATATTAAAAAAAAATATGAAAATCTCCATATAAAAAGAATACTAAAAGTTGCGCCGCAATTTATCGAGAAAGAGGGATTTACCTACACATAGAAAAGTAAACGATAAATATAGGACTTGATGATGTTTAAAGGACATATATTTTTCACCCTAAGTCCTCTTTGTGCCAATAGAGATCCTAGATAGTAAAGAGAGGAAAAATCTAGATGATGACTCGATCAGAGAATGATAGAAAAATGTCTCCAGTAATCCTTTTTGTTATTTTTTTTTTATCTTTGATTTTTTTTATTATATGAATTAAAGCTTTTATTTCCCGTCTTTTGTTACCTAAACATAAAAGACCAAATTAGAGTAATGAAAATATCTTTTTTTTAAAGAACGTGCCATTGTAATAATGTAAAATTTATTTTATTAAAGATAGTAAAAATTAAAATTCATATTTAAAATGTCTAAATTACGCTATTATATATAGTGAAGAAGCATATGAAAGGGCCACACATGACATTACGTGTACACGTTGATGGAACAACACTACAATCAGAATAATTGTATTCGATGGGAAATTTATCCACTTCTATATGCACACATATCAATCAATTAAGGAATATATCCTTCTTTCGAAATGATAAAGACCCCAACATACATGCATAAATCCACGGTTGCCACGTACACCCCCATTCAAATTTCCCTAAATTTTAAATTATTGTCATGCATGGATGCTCATATCATCACCCTCTACGTAACTCAGAATCCTCATTTCCCACAATCATTGCAGTTAAAACATATCCAAAAGCATTAACACATTGCATTTAGTTCACAGCTCTCAAACGTAAGAACCAACCAAACACACATTATATGCACTTTCAGTACAAGTAATCTTTAAAAAAAAACATTTGATCGCCACCTTCTTTTAACTTTTAAATTTGTTTCAAACATACGAATCAATGGATACGTAGAATAAAAAAACATACATGACTTATAAATTTGTTATACTTAATAAACTTACTAGCATTCACAGTACGTGTACAATAATTTATCAGTGGAAGAAGCATAAACAAAGAACTTGATATCAGTATATATATATATATATATGAGTGAAACAATGCACCCAAACTGAAGATTATATAGAAGAGCAGAGTCTCTAGATATTATTGAGTAGAATGAAGGTTGAAAAAGCCGCAGGAGTAAAAAGAAGAAGGTTTATAATACAATTAAAGCAGCGTTTGTGAGAAGGTGTGTGCATTAGGGTAGAATGTATTTGTATGAGGTTAATGTTCTAGAGCCATAGAGCACCAGCATCTCTGAGCATTTTCTTGAGTGAGCCATTGAGGTGAAGGGTCATGACAGTGTTGGCTGAACCGACAAACTTGCCACCAACGAAGACAGCAGGGACAGAAGGGTTGCAGCCGAGTCTCATGAGAGCCCATTCCATTTCCTTCCCTCTTGTGTCTTCATCAAGTTCATAGATTGCAGGGCCCACACCCTGCTCGTAAAACAGCCTCTTTATTGCATGGCTCATCCCGCACGAACTCTTGCTGAAGATCACCACTGCCTTTTGTGATGCCAACTTTGTTATGCGTTCCATTTTTTAATGTGGTTGGATTAGGGTTTGGTTTGGTTTGGTTTTGTACATGTGAGGAGTGAGGACATATATAGTGGTTGAGATTCTAAAGAAGGAGATATATAGCTAGGTAGGGGTGAAAATATTGAAGGTTCTTGCATGAGTTGATGCTGAAAATATCCTTGATTTGAGAGGGACTTGTGTGGTGTCTCAGTTGCCCTAGCTACTTGTGTTACAAAGAATCTACTAGGCCATCGAGATAAGCCAAACACTGTCGGAAATGGGACCACCAAAATTAGAGAAAGAGAATTATCTCCTTCATGTCCATGAAAACACTGCTCATGCCTTTTCTGGTGCCTCAAGAATGTCAACTTTAATTGGGACAAATTTTATGTATATTTTTTACAACAACACCTCTTCAACCAAGGTTTCATTTTTTAAATAATTAAACTAAACTTATTAATAAAAAATTAACCCATTCAAAAGTAATAAATTTACTTGCTTGAATATCGGTTTTGAACAATTTTTTTATGGTCCTGTGATAGTTCAGATCTTGTTAGCTTTATAATATTTTCGATTTAATATAACATAAAAGATCTAAAAGGTGACATCATTTTGTTATATCTTTAAAGTTAAGCAATATATAATAGTTTGGAATACGTTAAGAATCTCTTTATTAGTAGGGTAATACGTACCACGTGGGATGAGCATGGAGGTTGACACATGGCGGATAGGATATAGTTCTATTCCTTGAGTTGGGGTGTATGAATATATACATATGTCATAAGTAATAGAGACGTATAAGTAGAAGAGATTATGAAGAGAAAAATTGAAGTTGCACAAGGGAAGAATTTGGAAAAGGGTGGATCTTAAAATAGGAACCTTTTTTTGTGTAAAATTATAAGAGTAATGGTTGAGTAATATATTTTTACAAGGTAAAATAGTTATAAAAAATAATTTTTTAATTTTTTTAAAAAGAAAATAAAATAAAAAAATAAGAAAAAATAATATCACCTGTAAAAATTTTATTTATGTCAAAATATCACAATTTGTAGTTGTTTTACGTTAAATTGCAAGTGGGAGATGAAACATTATTGAAGTGTTTTGAACGTATACTTTTAAATTAATTATCGTTTTAATGTATACATTTTATTATATTTTATAATATTAATGGTGGCATTCGTGATAATTGACTATGTTGAATTGTAATTATTTCGTTATTATTTTTACTAACAAAACAACGCAATAATGGACAATTTTCAAGAAACCAAATTACAACAATTGGCAAAAGAATTTAAATTCTCATTCCATATTAGTAAAAGAAACATCTGAAATAATAGTAAAAATAGATTATTTAACTTTTATAAATTAAATCAAGATAGTTATAACTTAATAAATACCATCATTATTGAAATGTAAGAATGTGAAATTATTGTGGAGCTTTCTTAATTAACCTTTAGAAGTGCTAAGGAAGTGATTTAAATTATTAAAAGTAGATAAGTATAGCGTTAGATGCGCCTGTAGCTCAGTGGATAGAGCGTCTGTTTCCTAAGCAGAAAGTCGTAGGTTCGACCCCTACCTGGCGCGGGCTTTTCTTTTTTGTTAGCTTTTGAAAATGTACATTTTCAATTCATGGGCTGGTTACAAAGTTGGGCTTTTGTGTCGTTCATGTGTATGCCAACACCCAAGTTTTATTTTTTACATCTATTTAATATTATTTTTTAATTTCTATTCTTTTCTACAAATATAAAAGTTAATTTTTCAAACAATTATTTTACTTCTAAAAGTATAATCTCAAAAATTACTTATCTTGATGTCAAAAAATCGAAGATGGTCAATCTTGTATAAGACTGTGATGTAAAATTTTTCCAACGCCTAATTAAGAAAAAAAATATATACTTATTTTTTTACGTAAAAAACCAAATTGTATTGGTGATGGAACTCTGTTTAAAATTGTTCGAAAGCCGTATAAAATACGTCGAAAAATAAAATAACAATCACAAAGGAATACGATAATCAGAGATTAAGAACTTAAACAAAGATTTACTTACGTGGTATATGAATAGGTTATGTGCACGTGTTAAATACTTAATTATATATCGATGACCACAATTAGTAGACAAACACTGTTTATAGAAACACTTGAATATATAGTAGAAGTCCTCTTTTTGATATGATTTACAATTTTTTTAAATAATAATTTTAAATAGTGACGGTGTAAAAAATATTTATGTACATATTAATAAAAAATAATAGAGATGAAAATGTATAGGTTGAGAAGAAGACAAATATTAATGGTTATGGGAATCAAAGGGCAATAAGGCTATCTTAATAAAATCTGGGAATATGTTTCTTTATAATAATAGGGAATAAATAATAGTAATAAATGCGAAAAGTCCCTGATAGAATCGTTTTTTTTAATATATATGTGTACTTACCCTAATTTGTGATGCCAGGATCCGCCATTTTTCTTTTTCAATTCTTTCCAGCTTCTATGTAAAGCTAACATTCTCCACCAACTCTTCCTCAATTAAATCATTTTAATAAACTAAACACTTTAAATTATTTCAAATACACAAGCTAATGAAAATTTAATTTTCTGCCATTTTCTGTCTTCCTACTTTTTATGGTCCAATTTTTGCTTTCAAATTTATAGAATCTACCATTGAAACCAATACAAAAACCATTATACAGAATAAATTTTCGATAATAGATTGAATCAATATTAAAAAAATACGGTTTATAAAGTAAAAAATCTAAATTTATCGGTTAAAAAGTATTATTTTTAATTCTGAGTATCACTTATATATATATATATATATATATATATATATATATATATATAATTTAAATATTAATATTTTTTAAAATAATTCGTGTTTATATTGTGAATTCAAATGTTATTATAAGTTTTATAAATTTGAAAAATTTTCATAAATAGAAAATATATTAGTGAAATATTTAAGAATTATTCTTATATTTTATTCGTTTAAGTCGATTATTAAAACAAATTATTAGTTTTTATATAATTGGATTTGTTAAGAGATATGAACTAAAGTTATAAAATATATATATATATATATATATATATATATATATATATCACTTTCAATATAAAATTATAAAATAATAAAAGATTAAAAATACATTTTTAATTTCTAAATTTAGATAAAAAAATTAGAATTTTTATTTTTGTTTAAAATTTTGATATATTTTAATTTTTAAACATAAAAAATAATATAATTCTTTTAATCAATAATGTTAAATTTTTGTTAAATAATGTTGACATTTGACCTAATTACACAAGTTATTATATTCTAACTCAAATACTAACCTAAAACAATGTTTAATATGTAAAAAATAAATTAACGTTTAAAACGTTATATTTGTTTAATTTTAAAATTTATAGACAAAATAATGTGTCAAAGTTTAGTATATAAACAAATTCAAATTTCACGTATAATTATAAAAATTAAAAACATATTTAATCCAATAATAAATTTTGCAGTTCTATTCCGTATTATTATTATTTTAACATTTTTTTTATTTCTAAAGTTAAATTCATGCCTATACTTTTGGTTTAGAAAGTTAACCCAATTTTTTCTTTTTAAGAAAACGTATTTGGATTAGTCAAAATTTTTGTGTGAGGAAAGTTTTAATAAGATTTTGAAAAGAAAAATTTGAAAGTTGGTGCGCTTTAGCTATAGTTGGTGGGTCTAGTTGTGGCAGCAAGACGTGGTATGCATCCATAAACAAACGCATCAAAGGTATATATGAAATTCTCTCGTGAACATTAGTGCTCCCACCCTATGGATTCGTTTAGCCAAAACCAAACAGGGTCCCAACATAAAGACACCTACCTTTAAATTTATCGGATTTTTCTAGAGCACAACCCAACTATTAATAGTACTGTCAAAATGGATGGTAACTCGTGAGTCAATCCGGTCTATCACAGATTTGAGTTGAATTTAAAAAAAATATAACTTTTTTATGTGGATTAGTTTTCAACCTAGTTCACTTAGAATTCAGTTCATCTGAGTTGAACCCATGGTATGATAGGTTGACTCAACAACCCACCAAATTTAATTTAATTATTTATTATTTTATATTTCAATATTTTTAGTTAATATTTTTTTTATTATATTGTAGATGGAGATAAAAAAATGTTTCAAGAGAAAAAAATATTATAGATTTATCTATTCAAGACTCTAATATTATAAATGAACAAGTGATACAAAAATTATCAATATTAAAAACTTATTTGTTTGTCTTTTGTGTTTGTTTTTGGATTTTGTGCTTGTTTTTGGATTACAATTGAATTATATAATATTTTTATTTTATTTTGAATTGTCTTTGGAGTTTAATATCATTTTAGAATGAAATTTATTTAAATTTGAATTTAAAAAAAATTATAATATTTTTTATTAAAAAAAAATTATAATTAAGTGAGTAATATGTGTAACTCACCAACCCGTGATGGGTCTTGTCGGGTTTGAACTTTTTCAACTCGCTAATATGTGAGTCAGGTTGGGTTGACTCATTAAGTGACTAACCTGGTGGACCGGACCAGGTCAAATCACATTACCCGTTTTGACAGCTCTAATTCATACCAACAACATTAAGCCAATTATCTTTTTCTTAATCACCATAATAATGTAATTAAATCTACTCCTACTAGTATATATGCCATTAATGAGAATGCTAATTTTTCTGTCTAATGTAGTTTTAAATATTATCATGTTATGACAATTTAAATATTGGATTTTTGTTAGTTAGAACTTGCGATGATCCGTCATTATAGTCATATTTCCCTTTCTAGAATTGGATGCGAATCTTAATAGAAAGAAAGAGGTCCCAATGGGATAAATTCAACTTACCTTTCATGGCAGGAGATGCTTCCAACACAACAAAGCAGATTACAAAAGTTATATAATGTAAAAAACATTTACATTCTAACTACACTCAGATCAATTCTTACAAAGCTAATTTCTCTTATGTAACACTATTCCTTATTCCCCAATTGTTTACATGATTTATGAGA